CAGGGGCTTAGTGTGTGAAAACGGGGAGTATAACCGAGCCTCAAACCCATGGAGGATTCCCTGAAAAAGAAATACTTGAGTTGAGATCTCAAGAATGAGTAGACAGCAGCTGGGCAAAGTGGGAAGAGAGGAAGTTATGTGTGTGCAAAGCCCTGTGGCTGGGAGGACGGTGGAGTATTTGAGGAACTGGAAGAGGGCTAGTGTGGCTGGAGCAGAGAGCAAGGAGGAGAGGCCTCAAATCAGCCCCGAACTTCTCCTGAGAGCAGTGGGATACGTTGAGCTGCTTTGAGGTGAGTGTGTCCGTGTTGGAGGATTGGGGTGGATTAAACAGACTCGTGACTCGAGATCACTCTGCCTGCAGCAAGGAGAAGAGATTTCAGGGGCAAGAGAGGAAGAGAGGTGAATGAGGAGACCTTGTAGGAGTCTTGGTGACAGATGCTGGGGCTTGGACGAGGCTGGTGGCCGAGAGCTGGAGAGAAGTCAATGGGGCATTTGAGGCATAGGCCCAACAGGACTGCAGACCTGGAGTGGAGAGAGTATTTGTCCAATGAGTGCCTGATGAACAGTTGAGGGGCCCAGTGCTTGCCCCCCAGGGGGTCCCAGTAGCGGCAACTTCCTGGGGTAGAGGTGGGTGTAGCACAAGTGGGAAAGGGGGATTTCACACCCAGGCCAGCACCAGCCAAAGAGCCAGGGGTGAGACCCGGAGGTGAAAAGACTCACTTCCCTGTCCTCAGGAGCTCATAAAAGGATACTGAGAGAGAAGCAAATCCTCAGCCGAGGCACAGGGCTGGAGAGCACCTCCTCTGCCAGACAGGGCAAGGGGGAGGTAGTGACAGAGGGAGCAAGAAACATTAGCTGCCAGAGAAAAAAAACTCTTCCCTGCCGCTGTCTGAGCCAACCCGGACAGCAGTGCAAGCTACGCGTACAGGATCGGAGCGCGGAGTTGCGCAGCACCAGGAGCCCCAGGGAGCTGCCCTGGGCTGGAGCAGAAGCCCACCGGGTCCCACGCCAATAGGCTGCCAGCTGGGCTTGGCCAGCCCGGGTTCCTCCCTCACAACAGCAGGAGCGAGAACCACTGCCCCCATGGAGATGTGAGGAGGAAACAGGAGAGAGAACGAGAATGTACGCAGAGCGCCCACCCAGCCACGCATGCCTGACCTCTGTCGACTCCTCACTCTGGCTCACAGCGCATCGCTGCAGCTTGTAGAGACCTCCTGCTCCCGCCCAGAGAGGAATTCCACTTGGAGATGGACCTAGAAGCTTAGGAAGTTCCCAAGGTGATTCAGGGAAGCCACAAGAGTTGGTGCTAGACCATTTTTTTCTTTCCCTTCACCTTAAGGCAGGGGTATAACCGGGACCCAAGGGAGCAGGAGCACCTGGCCGTGAGGACCCCGAACAGACCGGGTCGGGCCACTCGCCGCTGACAAAACCCAAAGGCAGAGAGACAAGTGGTGGCCAAACAAGAAAGGGATTCATTTCAACAAGGCTGACACCGGGAAGGCAGCAGACTAGTGTCTCAAAGATGGTCTCCAAAGTGCTGAAAGTACATCCAGGTTTCTATAAGGAAAATGTGGAACAAAGGAAAGGTCCCTGCAGGTGGGCAGGAAAGGTCAGGTTGACCACCGTCGTGGGGTCAGTCACGCAGGCTCTTGCGGTTGTCAGGGCAGTCCCTTTTGCTTGGGGGGTAGTTTTGGTTTCCATCACGGGACGCTTTGCCTGCATCTTTTTTGCCTGAGATAATAGATAAGCTGAAAGGAAGAACTTAGGGGCCTCTAGGTGGAGCAGTCAGTTGATCATCCTATTCTTGGGATTCTTTTTTTCTTAAAGATTTATTTATTTATTCAGGAGAGACAAAGAGCACAAGGGGAAGGGCAGAGGCACCGAGTGGAGCCCAGCCTGGGGCTCGATCTCAGGACCCTGAGATCACGACCTGAGCCAAAACCAAGTTAGTCACCATTTCTTTTCTTTTTTTTTTAAGATTTTATTATTTATTTATTTGACAGAAAGAGAGACAGCGAGAGAGGGAGCACAAGCAGGGGGGAGTGGGAGAGAGAGAAGCAGACTCCCTGCTGAGTAAGGATCTCGATGCGGGGCTCGATCCCAGGACCCTGGGATCACGACCTGAGCCGAAGGCAGACGATTAACCGACCGAGCCACCCAGGTGTCCCAGTTACTTTGAAATACAGTAATAAAAATATGAAAAAGCCAATCGCAATTCAGAAATACAGGTAATTATGCATGCATTAAAGATCTAGCATTGGTATAACTACCGTAATGCCAAAACAAGTGATGGATAGAAACAATATTTTGAGATACATTTTGAGATAACGGCACCAACTGATCTGTGCCCGTACCTGATGGCTGATGGCCACGATCAAGGGCCTTTGTGACAAACTCACCCGCGCGACCAGTAACCGCAGTATGGCTTTGTTGCCTATGTCTAGAGCCTTAGTTAGATGTTAGCACAAAGATGAAATAGTTTTCCCTCAGATTCCTTGGAATTCCATGCCCCAGTTAAGAACCCTATGACCCAGGAAGAACAGGTCAGCAAGTTATGCTACAGCTGGACAAGACTGCCCAGGAGGATGGGGACACAGGCCAGGGCCACCTGGGCCAGAGAGAGTATGGGGACACAGGGCTAGAGCCACCTGGGCCAGAGAAGGCTTCTGGATGGGACTTTGAACCTGGTTTTGGGTTTGATCCAGAGACAGACGACAAGGAGAGGGACTTGGGGAAGTTGTAAAGGGGTAGGGGAGCCATAGACAGAACACACTGGAGCTCACAGGGTCGGGGTTAACTATCAACAGCTCTCTCTGGAGCACGGGAATGGGGTCTCAGAAGGGAAAGTTTGGGGTTTGAGTTTACCTGCCCGGAGCTTGATGGCAGGAAGTGGCAGTCCCCAGGAAAGACAGTTCTGTTGGAATCCAGAGCCCCGGCCCATCCCCATACACCCCACTAGTCGCTGTGAACCTGAGGCTGGAGGGCACCCCCCAACTATAAGGGATGGAGCTCAGGGTAGAAAGAGAAAGCTGAGGCTCAAGAACCACATGGCCTGGCTTCTTCACTTGCTGACATGTAATGCTGAGACATTGACTTCATTTATTTGTGCCTTTGTTTCTTCATCTGTGGAGTGGGAACCATAAGTCAGTCATTACCTCACCAAGCCATGAAATGCGACAATCACCTGAAGCATGGGGCGCCCAAGGCCTGGCACGGAGCAGTCCTCGGGGTACTTCTACTGTCCTTAGCAGCTCTTTCTTCTTAAATCAGCAGTGACTGGGCAGCCCAGCCCCCTCCTTGTCTCTGGCCAGAGAATTCCGAGTCAGTTGTGGGGAGGGGACGCCAGGGTCCTGAGGGGCTGGCCTGCCCTTAGCCCCAGGGGAGGATGAGTAACTGGCCACCACCTCCCTTGCAGGTGAGGAAGGGCTTGAGAACAGCAACTTCAGCAGAACTGGCCTCTTGCTTGGGGCGGGGGTGGGGGGGTGGGGGATGGATCTCTGGGCGAAGGTCAGGGTGGCCCCACCCCTGGAGCCAAAGAGTTCACGTCCAGGGTGAGGAGAGCTGGTGGAAGTTTCGTGATGAGAAAGTGAGCCTGACGTCAGGCAGACAGACCTGGCTCTACAGTGGGGTGCGCAAGCTGCATGCTGTTCCACTCCAGGGGTTCCCAGAACACCGGGGAAACGCCCTTGGAGTTCTGCAGTCTGGATGCCTTGCCTGGGTTCAATTCTGGCTCTGCCCCTCCCCAGTTCTGTGACCTTGAGCAAGCCACTTACCCTCTAGAGCTCCTCTAGGTCCTGGGCCCACCACACCCACCTTCAGGGCTGTTTGAGTTACCTGAAAACACCCAGCTCCTAAAAGTTGCTCCATAAACAGCAGCTTCCTCTTCTCCCAGGCTACCACCAGGGACCCTCCCCAAGCTTCAGGGCACTAAGGGCAGGAGGTACTCAGGGGTGAGCACAGCCCAGCACCAGGTGTTAAAACAAGAAGGGGCAAGGCAGTCGAGACAGGTGAGAGAGAAGACCTCCCAGCCCATTGTCCCGGCACACAGCCCGGCAGCCCCTTCCACAAAGAGTGGGCAGGTGCCCCAGAGGCCTCCTTCTAGCTAATGATTCTCCTGCCCTCCCTCCGGTGGCCCCATGATGCTAGAGGCTGACTGCCATTTCTGCCCCAGGTGCCCTCCCAGGTCTGAGATCCGGTCTCTCTAGACTCAAAAGGAGGCCCTGTGAAAGAAAGAGGAGCTTCTGGTGCCCAAAGACTTGCAAGACGATGACCCAGGGTTTCCCCTCCCAATTCCCCGCACAACTCAGGGAGGGGGATCCTTTCACATATTCTGTAAATGTGTATGGCAGTTCCCGGCATTGTGTGATGCTATAGTCATGTCAGGCTTGCTGGGAAGGAGACCTCCCAGCATTCCTAAACTTCCCAGTGGTTCACTCATTCAGAAAAGATTCGCTCTGAAGCCTGCTGGGTCCTGAGCTCCAAGCACCCAGATGCCACAAAAACGACTCTGTCCTCATGGAGCTCCCCTTCTGGGAGAGGAAACGAACATTCATTGCATCGTCCTACAAATAGATTCTTGCGGGCTCTGACAAAGCCAGGGAAGGCCAGGGTGCCAGGCAGGAGTCCACACTGACCAGGCCCCAGTCTCATCCAGATGAGCCCCCATCTCATCTAGGGGATCCTCACTTTGGCCCCCTGCAGTCCCCTCGGGCTGGGTGGGGCCTGATACCCAACTCTAGGCTCTCCAGTCCTTCCCGCGTGGCTGGATTATAACGTCTGGCCTCCCCAAGGTCAAAGACAAGGTGGTGAGTGCCTTGCTTTATTTTTTATTTCCATTTTGAAATGGGAGCTTGGACTCAGGAATCAACGACTGTGGGTTTCACAGGCTCTCCCTACACTGTTACCAATGGCCTGTTTTCTCTGGGGGCAAGCGGTGACACGACTCTGGGACGCAGGCCTGCCCCCTCCAGCAGCTCTGCTACCCCCCCTCCCGCCCACAGGAAGCCTACTGTGCCTACTCCATTATCCTCATGGCACTCTTCTGGTGTACCGAGGCTCTGCCCCTGGCTGTCACGGCCCTCTTCCCCATCGTCCTGTACCCCATGATGGGCATAATGGATGCCTCCGAGGTAAGGCTCCTGGTAGGGACGGGGGTCTGCCCTAAAACACCAGTGATGGAGGAAGCCTCATCACAGGCAGGACACACAGAAGAGTCCAGGTCAGGGAGCACTAAGGATAGAGTCAGCTAGAAGATGGCAGGGCTGGGGGTGGGCGAGGGTACATTCTAGAAATGCCGAGTGCATGGTCGGTGTTGAGAATTGATTCAGAGTGGATCAGGTGTAGGCCTTGAAAGTCAGCTAGAGAACTTGTATTGTCCTGGGTTAATGGCTCTGAAACGTGAGCAGCGTGCATGTCTCAGGACCACCTGCAGGGCTGGTGAAAAACACAGACTGCTGGGCCCCGACCCCAGAGTTTCAGAAGTAGTAGACCTAGGGCAGGACCTGAGCATTTCGTTCCGAGCAAACTCCAGGTTGGGGTTGATGCCGGCTTATGGACCACCCTTGGAGAACCACTGCTGTGCTTTCTAGTATCAGCACTAAATTCTCTATGTCCCAGTCCATGGCTTGAAAAATGACTGGAATCAGGCTCAATTATCTCCCACTCATTTCTGAGGGGAGAAAGAAAAGGTTTGGCAGGAAGAGAGGAACCCGGTTATTTATTTATTTATTTATGTGACAGAGAGAGTGAGCACAAGCAGGGGGAGAGGGAGAGGGAGAAGCAGGGAGCCCGACACAGGACCCTGGGATCATGACCTGAGCCAAAGGCAGTCACTTAACTGACTGAGCCACCCAGGCGCCCAGGAACCTGGTTAATTTTAAATGGAAGATAATCCAAAACCATTTCTACTTGGTTCTGAGAGCCCAGGAGACCGACCTGTGTTTGTGGGAATGTCAGTGACTGTAGCCTGTAAGGCCAGGGGCATGGGAGACACCCGTTCCTGCTGTCTCTGCCTGCCAGGTCTGCATCGAGTATTTAAAGGACAGCAACATCCTGTTCATCGGGGGGCTGCTGGTGGCCATTGCCGTGGAGCACTGGAACCTGCACAAACGCATTGCTCTCCGTGTGCTCCTCATCGTTGGGGTGCGGCCGGCCCTGTGAGTTCCCACAAACCAGGACTGGAGAACCTGGAGCGGGTGGGGTGCTGGGGATCCAGTCCCTGAAGGGGACACTGGAACACCAGCCAGCGGGTCCGCCCGTCTCCATCTGTCCCTAGGCTGCTCTTGGGCTTCATGTTGGTCACAGCCTTCCTGTCCATGTGGATTAGTAACACGGCCACCACAGCCATGATGGTGCCCATCGCGCACGCCGTTCTGGATCAGTTGCACAGAACACCCAAGGGCAAGGACGTGGAGGAAGGCAGCGACAACCCCACCTTTGAACTCCAGGAACCAAGTCCCCAGAAGGAGGAGACCAAGTGTGGTGAGAAAGGTGAAGCTTGACCCCGCTCTGCCCCGACCCCACCACCACCACCTCCCCCAGCTCTTGGGGAGGGTCTGAGGTGACATCCATGACAGGGGTGGTCATCTCGGAGCTTTCAGGGAGAGAAAAGGGAGACGTGCAGCGACCAACTTGCCCTGGCTTGCCCAAGACTGTCCCTAGTTTTATTCTTTTTATTTATTTTTTAAAGATTTTATTTATTTATTTGAGAGAGAGAGAGCACAAGCAGGGAGGGGGCAGAGGGAGAGGAAGAAGCAGACTCCCGCTGAGAGGGAAGCCTGATGTGGGACTCGATCCCAGGACCCCGGGACCATGACCTGAGCCGAAGGCAGACACCCACCCAACTGAGCCACCCAGGGGTGCCCCTGTCCCTAGTTTTAAAATGAAAAATCCCATGTTCTGAGAGTCCCTTCAGTGCAGGCCCAAACAAGATGCCAGGTCACCCTGGGAGGCAGAGAGCTGGAGTCTGGGTGGGCTGTCAGGGATCCAGGCTCCCTTCATCCTGTGTGCTTTGGATAATCCTCTTGCATTCTCTGTGTCTCAGTTTCCCTCTCTCAAGAGAGGTTGGGCCAGGTGGTGTCTGAGGTTTGAGCCAGCCTGAGACCTCAGGGAGCGCAAGCCCTTGCAGACCTGGACGCAGCCTCTGCACCTCCCACCCCCGAGCCCCACCCCCCAACCCCAGCCTGGGTCTAGGCTGCTCACTGGCAAGGCCCCCCCCCGCCAGCCCCCCAGCGGAGCTCTCCTTTGTTCCCAGATAACGGGCAGGTGCACCCTGTCCCAGCCGGGTCTTTAGAGCCGACGGCACAACAGCGGGAGGAGCTCCGCTTCAGCCAGGGCATGAGCCTGTGCGTGTGCTACTCCGCCAGCATCGGCGGCATCGCCACACTGACCGGCACCACGCCTAACCTGGTGCTGCAAGGCCAGGTCAACTCGTGAGTGCCCGGGGGCAGGGTGGGGAGGGCGGGAAGGGGTCTGCACTTGGCGCTGGGAGGCGCCTGGGGCAATGTCATGCAACAGCCCGCATCCTCCATCAGGCTCTTCCCCCAGAACGGCAACGTGGTGAACTTTGCCTCCTGGTTCAGCTTTGCCTTCCCCGCCATGGCCATCTTGCTGCTGCTTTCCTGGTTGTGGCTGCAGATCCTCTTCCTGGGGTTCAAGTAAGTGGTGGCGGGAGTGAAAGAAGCCCGGGGGCCTGCCCTTACCCTCCAGGAGATTCCGGTTGAGTAACCAGGTAGCCATTGTGGCAAAGGGTATAATCACGGACCCACTAAGCAGACCTCTCTGTGCACTTGTCCCGACCATGTGAGAGATTGACTGGGTGGAGACTATTATCCCATTTAGCAGATGAGCAAACTGAGGCTCCTAGAGGGGTGTGCAACTAGATTTGTCAATGCTGAGTTTGAAAACTAGGTCTCCTGATGCCCAGGCCAGATCCACTCCATAATGCTCCTCGGTCCTTTGGTAAATGCTTTAGGAGCACACAGTGAACATGGTCAGTTACAAAAGCATTTGTTGTGCTCTTACCGGACATCTGGCCCTGCGCGAGGCACTGAGAATACGAGAGGATATTAGGCACAGCCCCTGTCCTTGGAGCTCACCATCTAATGGGTGGCGGTGTGGTGGGGGCCGTGACAGAGGGAAGCCTGGGGGCTGTGGGAACACAGCCCAGGATAGTGGCAATCCCAGAAGGCCCCTGGGGGACGCGATGTCTGAACCGAATCTTGTAGAATGAGAAGCCAGCCAGGTAGAGAATGGGGTAAAGGCATTCCGGGCAGTAAGAACAGCTTACACAAAGGTGCAGAGGCAAGAAAAAGCGTGTGTTTGGGAAAACTCTAGTTCTTCTTGTTGAAATGTTAAGTGCAAAAAGGAATATCAGGAGTTGAAGCTGGAGAAGTAGGCAGGGAAAGATGATGGAGGATGCCGCGTGCCGCATCAAGGATTGGGACCTCGTCTTTGAGGCCAAGAGTAGGAAATAGGTTTTATTCTTACTTCCAACCCCGAGTTACTGGTAGTGACCCGAGGTCCTGAGTTGACAATCTGGTGAGACCTCGCCAGAGCTCAGTTGCAATTGAGTCTGGGATCGACTGGTGATGTCTGCTACCAGTGTGGGCTGAGAGTAGTGATAAAGGTGGTATTGTGGTAGGCGTTATCTGACTTTCCTGCTCAGGTGGCAGTGGTGGGAGGGTGAGGATGGAAGGCGGGGACATTGAAAGCTTTTAGGTATTGTTGCTGTACTTTGGAACACTCACTTGGACATGTGCAAGGCGGCTGGATCAAGGCTGGGGGCTGGTACAAAGCTAGGTGATAGTCAAAGAGACCCCCATATGCAGGGCACCGTGGGACATTCAAAGATGTGTGAGGTAGATGGTCTTTGCCACTGAGGAATTCACAGTCCATCAGGGGAGTTGAGAGTTGCCCAAGTGGAAAGTTAAAAGTCAACCTAAGTTAAGCAAGGGGCACACAGAAGTGGACGGCCGTCTCCTGTGCCCCTAAGAATGATGTGGGTGGGGCTAGGCTGGCAGGGGATGCCCAGAAGCAGGCAGGAGAGGGAGGGAAGGATTTCCTGAAAGGCTGCTGGAGGAGGGGAGTGGCCAATTGGGGCCAGAAGGAGTCGTGGGGTCCAGGCCTCTAGATTCTCCTCACTCTGGGCAAGGGAGGGCTTAGCGCAAGAAAATCTCTGGAGGGAAAGGGGGTCATTGGGACAGATGGAGCAGGGCTAAGCATGGGGAAACTGGCCCCTGGAGCCCCAGCCTTGCCTCTGCTAAATAAGAACCACGACCTCCCCCCACCCCAGAGTCTTCTGCTTTTCTTTCAAAACCTTGGGTGGGGCCAGGGCCTTCATGTAGCAACCCTAAGGTGGCCTCTGCAGGCATCAGCATATCACAGGTGCTCAGAGTCCCTTGCCCCCCTGCCTGATGTGGGGTCCTCAGGAGCTGCCCCACCCCCCACCTCTGCCTGCAGCTTCCGGAAGAACTTTGGCATTGGGGGACAGGCACAGGAGAGAGCACGGGCAGCCTTCCGCGTCATCCAAACAGAACACAAGCTACTGGGCCCCATGACCTTTGCAGAAAAGGCTGTCTCTGTCCTCTTTGTCACCTTGGTGGTGCTATGGTTCACCCGGGAGCCGGGCTTTTTCGTTGGCTGGGGCAACCTGGCTTTTCCCAATAAGGATGGAAACAGGTGAGCATTCTTGGGGAGAGGGGGATACTTCTGGGGCTCACCTGGCTAAGGGAGGAGGGAAGGGAGCAGGGCCCCTGGTGCAGACCAGGAGGTGATACGGTGGGGAAGACTTGCTGGGAGGGGCTCCTCTCCATCGCCATTCCACTCTATGACCCTGCGCAGCCTGGAGCCTAAGCCTGCTCTCCTTGCCTTGCCCACAGCATGGCATCCGATGGAACAGTGGCCATCTTCATTGGCATAATTCTGTTCTTGGTGCCCTCCAAGATCCCAGGGCTGACTCCGGATCCAGGTAAGAACCTGGACTGGGGCAGGGAGGGGCCTCTGGGCAGCCCCTGCCTTCTAGCATGGAATGAGCCTTCAACCACACTTGACAGGAATAGTCAAAGCCCAGACAGGTTGGGATGACTTGCCAAAAGTGCAGGGACTCGGGGACAAAGTAAGGATGCTGCAGAACTGGGGGTCCCTCTCCCGCCTGCGGTAAGCTCGGACAGGGACTCACAGGGAGACCCAAGTGGAGGGGAGGAAAAACCTGTTGGCTCTTGGTGATCCGTCCTCCTCTGCTTGGGAAATAGAAAACCCGGGGAGGCTGAAGGCCCCTCCTGCCCTCCTCAACTGGAAGACGGTGAATGAGAAGATGCCCTGGAATATCGTCTTCCTGCTGGGGGGCGGCTTTGCCCTGGCCAAGGGCAGCGAGGTGAGAAAGCCCGCCCCCTCCGCAGCCTGTTGGAGGGGGACCCTGCGGCAGGGAAAGAGGTGCCCTGCTTCTATCCCACACAGGGGATCCCCACTTAGGAGCCTCCTGGTGGGCAGAGCCTCGGCAGCAGCTGGAGAGGCAGGTTAGTCTAAGGGAGGGGGAGGAAACACAGGCCATAAGGACCTCTGCCTGCTAGGGTCTCAAAGTCAAAGGCAAGGCAGGCTCCTCTGGTGGGCAGGGACTGTTCTCAGTGCCAACCCCGCCCCGCCCCCCCCCCCCCCCAGCCTCACCCTCCGCCAGACGGAGAACGCAACAGCTTCAGCACCAGGGAGTAGCTAGCTTTGGGTGGACGCAGTTGGCCCGCTAGGCCACCAGGGGGCGCCATGGTCACACCCAACCAGGCTATAGGGACCGGAGAGCGCTTCATTCCCCAGAGGCTCCATCCAGGAGGGAAATCCCTGAAACTGCCTGCGCCCCTGGGCCTCCGTGTTCTGGCTAAGCTCGTTCACTGCACGGACAGGAGGCAGCTTCCCTGGGTCAGGGATCGGTGCCAGGGACTCCTGGATCTGAGGTTAGTTTTCACGGACTGTGGCAAGCACTGTGCCGCGTGCTGAGAGGGCAGCATAGTGTGAGACAAAGTCCCAGTGCCCTGGGACTCACAGTCTGGCAGTACACACGTGGACAGGGAAAGACCTGGGAGCCCTCATGACCCTGTGGGCTGTCCCCATTCTCCTGTCAGCCTCTTCCCAGCATCTGTACCCAGGGCCCTTCCCCCTTCTCTCTCCTTGCCCGTCTGCTGGGCTGGAGGACGCCCGGAGAGGACTGAGGGTGGCCAGGGAGCTCCCAAGAGCTGTTGGGAGAACAAGAGTAAAAGGAGTTAAAATCTTTCCTCCCACCACGTCCCAGGCTTCCCAGGAAGGCCCTTTGGCCCCATCTCCCGGCTCCTCATCTGACCCTTCTCCCCACAGCCAAGTGTTCTTCAAAATCACCAGAGGGGCCTCTTGGTTCTGGCTGGGTCTTATCTTCCTTCCCAAGCAGACCCGACTTCTGAAGACTCTGGAGAGGTGGAGGCAGGAGCAGGGCCCTCCCAGAGCCCCAGGAATCTCACCCCCTCACACACTGTCTTCCTCTGCCTACAGAAATCAGGACTGTCCGAGTGGCTGGGGGACAAGCTGACCCCACTACAGAATGTGCCATCTCCCGCCATTGCCTTCATCATCTGCCTCCTGATTGCCACCTTCACTGAGTGCACCAGCAATGTGGCCACCACCACACTTTTCCTGCCCATTCTGGCCTCCATGGTGAGCTGGTCCCGCAGACACACTTCCTCCAGGCAGCCCTCCTGCCCACCCCATCCAGGGGCCCCACCTGCAGGTCAGAGGGAAACTGTCTGCACCTCCTCTCACTTCCGGGAGAAGACCCCTGAGCTTCCCCCCTTCCCCAGACTCTTCAGCTACCTCGGGCCCCAAGGCTCTCTGGCCCCTGACTCACTCCATCCCTGGTGAAGTCACGCCTTGAGTATCTGGATAAGCCTCATTGGTGGCCTCGCCCACCTCCCTGGCCCAGTCCCTGTTCTGGTCAGTCCTGAGGTGACAGGTTGAAATGACTCCCTGGAGCGTCCCCAGCCCCTTCCTCCCCTGGCGCGTTCCCGCAGCCTTTGATGACACCCTGGAGCCCCTTTGAGATCCGTTTTATGGGCCCCTCCTCTCACCACGCCCCACTGGGCAGGGCCGCACACTCATCCCCTCCAGAGAGGTCAAGGGGCCCTTCCCAGGTCACCCAGGGCCTCCTGGCAAAAGTGGTGGGTTCGTGGCCAGAGTGCATGTTGTTGGCGGGTTGTCCTCCAGAGAGGGGAAGCAGGAGAATTGGGGGCCACGTCTTCCTCTCTGGGATGGGGACTGAGATCAGTTCTCCCCACTGTCTCCCCATCCAGGCTCAGGCCATCTGCCTCCACCCTCTCTATGTCATGCTTCCCTGCACACTGGCCGCCTCCCTAGCCTTCATGCTGCCTGTGGCCACCCCCCCCAATGCCATTGTCTTCTCTTTTGGAGGTCTCAAAGTGTCCGATATGGTGAGTAGCAGTGGGGCTTGAATGCTTCAGCACCCCTCCCTGTTCTGTCTTTCCTTCTTGGTGGACCACAAAGTAGCTTAAAGCCACTGAGGTTCTCAGAGTTAAGAGTGAATCCTGTCTGGGGCGGGGGGCTGGGGAGGAGACAGCAGGGGAGGTTACGCCATGATCCCCAGTTGGAGCATCTTTAGACCCTGCCAAACCCCAGAACATGTGAGAGGGAAAGGAGAGGGTGAGGAATTTAGGGGAGGCTCCAAGGTACGAGGCACCTGCACCCAGGGAGATGGACTCAGGGAGAACAGAGCCCAAGGCCCTGAAAGCTCATGAAGGGCTTCCTTTTCCCTCCTTAGCACTGGGATGAAAGCAAGGGCCAGGGGCACTTCCTAGTGCTGCAGGTCAGACCCACAAGAAGATTTCTCAGGGAGAGTTTTGCTAGTAAGAGAGCTCCCGAGCCCCTCTGAGCCCCTAAGAGATAGGTTCTGGCCCAGTTCAGCAACTGGTCACTCAAACTGGCTCTCCTTACACCAGGCCCGGACAGGATTCCTGCTCAACATCATCGGAGTCCTGGTCATCACACTGGCCATCAACAGCTGGAGCTACCCCATCTTCAACCTGCACACCTTCCCCTCCTGGGCTGACACCAACAACACGGCCAACTGCCTGGCCACAACACCTAGGCCCTAGACTAGGGTATGATCTGGCCAAGACCAGGAAGACCCACCTGTTTGTATTCCTCTGAGCCAGGAGGGGACACCCAGGCTCTAAGCCAAACCTTGAGAGAAAGCACATATATACAGAACCTCGTGTGTATGTCTGTAAGGAAGGGGTGTGTGTGCTCAGTGCTTCGTTTCTGAGGAAAATGTATGTGTGAGTGTGTGTGTGTGTGTGTGTGTGTGTGTGTGGATGGCGTGTCACGTGAGGATGCCTTAGAGGGGGTTTGTCGTGCGTGCACATGGCCCTCGGTGTGCGTGCTTGGCAGTGCGCATGTGTGGGTTCTCAGACCGTACAACATGCCCTCTCTAGCACTCCGGGTCCTCGTCTCCCCCGCTTGGTGGGTGACCAGACCCCTTTGCACTGTATTTATTGAAATTTGGGGTTGGGGTAGCCTGGGGAGCAGGGCCTACCCGCAGTTGCCATGGCAACAGCCTCGGGGACCAGCCCGGCTACTGAGGTCTCCCCAGTTTCTCAGGTTTGGGGAGAGGGATGGAATATTAGCCACATTAAAATCTTTTTTCCAGTAAAGTCTGGGCTGGTTTTTCATGGCACTTTCCGGGGCTGGTCCACAACATGGTTCAGGCCCCAGTTTGGGGAGTATGGTGGGAGGGGACTTGGCCTCTCTCCTGTATGGTGGCCCCCTTGGCACCTCTCCCACCCAAGGGAGAAGGTAATGGCCAGGAAGCCCTGCCAAGGCCGACTGGAGTGGGCGCAGCCACCCAGGAAAGCAGCACTGACATCACCGGCCCCGGCTAATTGGAGGCTGCCAGTCCCTGCGTGTCTTTGGGAAAACCGGCCTCCCCGTTCCCAGAGCACTCCCTGGGCATTTACATAAAACCCTCTGCCTCTGCCAATTCCTCGCCGACCCTTCCTCCGGCTTGAAAAACCAGTCCCGCCAGACCAGGGAAGGCCGACTGACCCATGCTCGGTGTCCAGAAAGAAGGACCCTCACCCAGAGAAGCAGCCTGCAGCAAGAGCAATACAAGTGAGACAAGAACAGGTTCAAAATTGGCATGAACTTCGGAGTCCAGGACCAGACAGCGCTCTGGGTCATGCTGCCTCCCTACCTCACCGCCCAGCGTCCTCCGCTTCCCCACCTGCCTGCACTCCAGAGTCTTCGTTTAGCTGGCGAGGTGGGGGTAAGAGTGGGGAAGGATGACGCCCCACCCATCATCCGTTCTAGGAGCTCAACAACCCTTCCTAGCTGGAAGTTCATTTTTGTATCTATCCTAAGTCTCTCGCTGCGGCCAGTGGCCAGTGAGCCTTGAGTTCATCTGGATGGAAGTTTCCAAAAGTCTCATCTAGTTCCCTCCTGCCGCAGTGGGAGAGAGCTATTTACCATCTAAAAAGAGCTATTTACCATCACTCTCATGCCCACCAACAAAGGGGGCTGAGTTGTGAAGACAGAAAACCAGAAAGGTTTCAGGTCTGGATTCCCCCTCAGCTGGGCCGGCGCTCAGTCCTCCCAGGGCTGGAGGTGCGAGGTACAGATGGGAGGGGGCTGCCGCATGTGGGAGAACATGGCTGTCCCCAGGGGACAAGAGAATCCTGACAGGACATGGCAGACATCCAGCAGAATGAGGAGTGTCAGGCAAGAGGCTCCGCCCCCCCCACCCCAGCCCCCCAGGCTGGCATTCCTCACTCGTGAAGCACCGTCATAAATCATGGCTCCCACCCAGACCCACGTTAGGAGCCCCCCCACACACACACAACCCGGGCCCTAGGCAATAGCACCCCCCAACTGGGAGTGGTGGGCCAACCCCTCCAGAACGGTGGCATCTTTCCAGTGACTTACCCCACAATGGGGTAAGTTCTTAAGGAGAAGCCCCAGCTCATCTGCAAGGAAGACCCTCTGCTACTACTTGCTTCTGGGTTCTAGTTGGGTGCCCACAACCCAGCCGTACCTAGGGGAAAGGTAGGTGTGCTTCTCAGGGGCACATGCCCCCCACACACTGTCCTCAGCTTCCCTTCCCACCTACCCACTTCCCCCTCAGTCCTGCTCAGAGAGGACCAGATGGGGACTGAGGCCACACAGCAATCCCAGCAGATGAGGACTGAACTAGCCCTGCGTTCTCTGGGGACAAGGTGGGCCAAAACTGGCCTGACGGTGGAGCGGGCAGCGGTGGTGGGTGCCCTGGCAGAGCACGGGGCAGGCCTCCCCCGGGTGCTCAGACACCATCCTTCTCAGCAGGCAGGAGGGTGGACACAGAAGGCACGTAGCACCTGTTGGCCTAATCACCATCATTAGTTAGGCAATAAAGTGGCACGGACTGGGCCAGCCTTTGAAGGAAGGGCCTGTCAGCCCAGGTCTGGTCTGTGCAGGCTGCCCTAGCAGCTCAGCTCCTCCCGCATACACTCGAGGCTGTGGCAGGTGGATGGGGCACCATGGGGACGACGCACTGCACCCACACCCTTTCTGCCACGGCTTCCAGAAAGGTAGCGGGGTGGGGGGTGCTCCAGATGTCTCCCAGCGGCTGGATTTGCGCAGTGCTGGGACTCAAGAGCTTCTGTGGTAACGCACCCCCTGTTGCTAGAGAAGATAAGTGAGGCCAGAACCAACCAAGGATAATCTGCCTGATGCCGCTGTGTCCCCAGTTCCTCGCGCAGGGCCTGGCCCAGTGACGGTTGTATGAATGCATGCATGAATGCATGAATGTATCAGAAGCACAGGGGGGCTTCTTGCTCCCGGAGGGAAGTTGGACACACTGACTTCAAAGCCCCTTTCCAGACTGCTGTGCATGGAGTGCTGTGTGACCTTGAACCAATGTCACCTTTAGGCTCAGCGGATTGGCCCAGATTTCTCAGTCATCTCTTACTTTTTCCCCTGCCCCTGTCCCCTAGGGTCCTGGGAGTGTCCCGTTCGCCTCCCCCCTCATCCTGCCAGCCAGCCCCAACCCCAGGGGCAACTGGCAGCCAGAGAGCGCATGGAAGATCTATCAAGCCAAGTTTTCAAAGAGGAACTGGCAGGGTGGCAAGGGAACCCTAGTTAGGGAGATGGAGAAGGTGGAAGCAGGGTCGTAGATCCCACTCTTTGGGTTCATCTTGCCTTGGGCCTTAGGTCAAGGGCAACTCCGGAGGTTAGGGTCCTCAAATCCAGAATAGGTCCCTTGGGGGGCTCAGGCCATGACTTCTCTGTCTCTCCAAAGTCTCCGATGGAAGGCTGAAGAGGGAGGGGTGAGCTGTGTAGGCTGGAGGGTGACACGGCGAGGGGGTGCAGGGTGAGGGGTGGGGTACACTGGGATCACTGAAGTTCTGGTGGGTGCCAGCCTGATGAGAGTGCCCCACATGACCTCCGCCCCAGTCTGGGCCCCGTTAGTTGTAGTCAGCGGAGCCGTGAGGTTTTACTAGGGGCAGGCAGTCAAAAGGGTGAGCCCTCAACTTCAGGGAGGGGAGGGGTTGAGGAGGGGTCAAAGAAGAGTGGGGGAAAGAGCATGGGGCAGCCTGATTGGGAAGATCGGGACAGGGATTCCGAGCAGCTGCTCTTAAGGGCAGCCCGACCTACACGCATGTATACACAGAGTCACAGACTCTTACACGCAGAACAACTCACACACACACACACAGACGTGAGAACCTGCATAGACACTCATGTGTGCAAAGTTACAGCCCTTCAGACCCCCAGTCATTCACAGAATCACTCACAGACACAGCCGCAGACATTTGTCTGTACACACACACACACACACACACACACACACACACACACAGGCATCGCTCTTCCCCCACCTCCACAACCTTGCTTCCTAAAGCAGGAGGGATTAAGACTAGTCAGGAGAAGCCTGTCCTTCTCCCCCAGCAGGACTCTAGCTGTGTCCCTCCCTCCCAAACCCCCCCACCAAGCTCTCAGCTTGGAAACTCCCTGAATTTCCCAGAGGGTCAGCCAACCAGAACAGGCTCAGACCTTCCAACTGGGTGCCCCCGCCACACACCCTCCACAACTCTGGCCAGTGCTTCTCTGCCATCTACAGCCAAGGAGCTGCCTGCTCTCCCCCAGGAAGCCCATCCAGATTAACCCCAGACCTCTCCAACCCTTCTTTGACATGGGGTCCTCAGGCCTCAGGGCCTCTGGGCAGCTTCACTTGGGCCCAGTTCCTCTGCAGGCGGTCTTAAATGTCTTCCCTGCCAATGGAGTAGGACTTGGAAGGCCTGGAATGTGGCAGGCTCAGTCTTGGGAACCCATTTTGGGGAGACAAGTCCAGTCACATGGACAGAAGCAGATAGAAGATGGCTAGTCCTGATGTGGGGTACATGGAGGGAGCCCCTCTTCCAACACATTGGGGCTCCCCATGGCGGAAACATGCTCTTCTTTCTCCCTGGGGTAAGCAGAGTCTTGCACAAGACGGGAGCATGGCGGACATCGGCACTAGAGATTTCCATACCCCGTTAGAGCTGATACCGGCTCAAAGCCGCCCAGCCCTGGGCAGAGCTAAGCAGCAGGCAGTGAACAAGTTCTGACCTCCAGTCTCCAGAGAGACAGAGCTTCTCCTGGCCCCTGTCTGTTTCAACACCCAGCCACAGTCCATCCAGGCCAGAGCCCGGTTATACCTACAGGCCCTGAAATGAGGGTGCTGGAGTGTGTGAGACCAAACCTCCAGATACAGGTCCTTTCCAAGGAGAGCAGAGCCAACACTGCCGCAGCTAGAGTTGAGGTTAGACACCAGGACAGACTTTCTGGGTCTAGGAGAGAACTCTGAGGGGCCGGGATGATGAGAGAAGAAGGAGAGGATGCTCCTGTCTGGAGGTGGAGAATGAGAAGAAAGCCCTCACAAATCCCCCTTGGGGTCCAAAAACACTGGAATTCCCAAGGCTCCCGCTTCAACTCCCAGATGGCCTGCAATGAGGAAGTAGTATTTCCCAAAAAGCAAGAGGGAGCCAGAGCCCCGCCCCCAATCCTGGGGCAGAGGTGGATCCTGTCTCCCAAGAAAGAGTTCACCTCACCATCAAAAGCAGAGTCTGTAGTAAGGTGAAAA